TCGACTTGACCCTAACCAGGCTCGAACTGGCGACTTTGGAGTAACACTCTCGTATTAGCTCCACACTCTAACCGACTGAGTTATAGGGTCACCCGATACTGTGGCCGCAAACCAAGGGCTACATAATCGCGTCAAACTAAGCATACCCTTCTTCTTGCCAGCGCCGCAGCAAGGCATGGCCCTCAGCCAAGGCGTAGCTCAACGTGCGCTGCCGGAAATCGACACCTAGTTCGAGCAAATCAATAACATCGTCCAAAAGATGCGCCTGCCCCACCAAGGAGCCTGGATGTGAAACGAAATTGGCAGAGAGCATGTGGACGTGCAAGTGGAAGTAGGTGGGCATATAGTGTAGAAAGCACCGGAGAGGCGAAGTAGAGTCGGACGATGCGGGAAGACCATATACTTCATGCGCCACCTTTTGACCAGCCTGCTGAATATTGCGCAAGAGAGGAACGTGCTTCTTCGTAAGATCACGCAGCGTGACCAAAGAATCGTCGCGAACAATGGCCATAAGATACAAGGACGACAGGGTGCGTCGATCCCATTTCATATCGGGCAGAATAACGAAACCAGTCTTGGGTTCAGGGTCTGAGTACAGCACTGATTCAGTCTCCGAGGTTCCTTGCAGAATGTTCTGCACCCATGTTGTTTTCGAGGCGGGAAGCGATTCGATCCAAGGCCTTGTCACTGTCTGATACATATGAGGCGTCTCGATCATCATGCGCCGATGAGGGGCAGAGTACTTGGCAATCAAGTCATCCGTGGCGGGACAAATGAGTGTCATTTTGGTTGATGCATCGTGTCCGTCACAATCCCACCCAAACATCCACGTGTAGATATCATTACGTCCGATCGTCTCCCTTCGCGGAAATGTAGTGGAAAGTTGAAGCGATGATAAAAAAGTGGGAGTGTAGTGCGTCTTTTCTAGTAGCAAGAGCGCCCTTTCTCGGACATTATTCGTGGTGCATGTGCCCAGTAAATTCGCGGTTTTAGCTCGTGGATCTTCATACAAAACGCGGTCCAACACAAAGTCTGACATGGAGTGCACTAAATGAGCGCAGCACGAGCCAACCAAGTGTTTCTCCACACTCGACGCCACTGGGTAGCCTCCTAGTCCCCATGGATCTTGTGCAGTCTATGCCGCCAGTGACGAGGGCCATGATCATTGGCATGGCCCTCACGGGACTTTCTTGCTCTACGAATATGACATCTCCCTATGATCTAGCACTTTTGTGGCCATGGATCCTGAAACGATGGCAATGGTGGCGCATCATAAGTGCTTTTTTGTTTCCTGGCCTGGGCCTACAAATGCTGTACAATGGAGTGTTTTTTCTTGAAATGTCGCGAACGATCGAGTCCTCTGTATTTTTGGGAGACACAGCCGAGTATGTGTGGTCACTGATGGGCATTTCGAGCTTCATTCTGGCATTCAATTATCCCCTCGGCAGTCCGTTTCTGTTTCAGCCCCTGTCGTCCGCCCTCACGGCCCTATTTTCGATCCACTTACCCCACATAAACCTCTCTCTTCTAGGCATTTTTTCCCTGCCTGGCAAGTATGTGGCGCTCGGCTCGCTAGGCATCAGTCTGATTGCCGGTGGTGTGCCCGAATGTTTGCAGTGTTTCACGGGCATTGCGGCAGGGTATCTATGGCACGTTCTCAAGAACCCTCCTCGGCCTGACCAGGATCGTCGGTACCACAGGATCCTGTCCTTCATCGGCAAGTACATTTCGCCTCGTTTGCAGGTGCCCCTTGCACTCCGCCAGATGATGGCGGGCACCTCGCCTATCCGTCGCACTTCGTTCGGGACAGTGTATCCGAGTCGAAGATCAACGACGTCCACGACGTCATCTAGGGCCAAACCCGCGCGAGAGCAGACGCGCCCGGATCGTGCAGCTATCCTCGCCGCCACGGAGGCGCGTCTCCGTGCCACGGCACAGAATGAAAAGTAATGGTTTCATAGTCTACATGGATGCCTTGCAAAGGACCCCTTGTTGCAGCACGGCGAGTTGTGCGCCCAATGCCCATCCTAGCTCGAAGTCGCCCAGCTTCTTGGCCAAGGTGATCTTGCGCGAATCATCGAGTTCGTATCCCAGACGCAAAAGGGTGTGCATGTAAGTCAGGTCAAGGCAGTAGTCTGGGCGCTGCTGCAGTTCAGTGACCGTTTCGGGAGAGAACGACGGCGACTTGAACAAACTCCATTGGCTCGGCAATGAGCACGCGCGCTCGGCAAGCTGCTCAAGCTCGCGGATCGTAAAGGTGGGGCCCAGACCCAGCGGAGCAATGCGGTCGTAAAAGTATGACAGAGCCACAATGTCCGAGTTCTTGAAGGCATGTGAGAGAGATGGCTGATACACGCCGGCAAATGAGCATGGAGCAATATGGCACTCAGCATCCTTGTTCATCGTGACTTCAACCAGGCGCTGGCAAGCACGGAATCCGCCACTAGTACCGACCATCGTGACATCCGATGTCTTGGACTTGCCAAGCGACACTTTGGCCGTCTTCTGTGCGCCAGCGGCATAGCAGGGACTTGGCACGAACATGGTCTGGGGCGAAAACTTGTCCCAAGCCGAGGCGTCACCCGCGTGTTGCGCGACCTGCGGATTCGTAGAGAGATGTAAGAACGCAGCAAGCGAATTGATAGACTCGCGTGCCTGCTTCAGTCCATATCCCAGATACGATTTTTGGTAAAGCGTGAACGACGAGTTTTCAAAGTTCTTGAGCTCATAGACATGTTCTCCTGGATGCATGGGACTCGATGCTTGCAGCTGTGGCTGAAAGACAATCTGGGTAGAACCGCCGCCCAGGTCCATCACGGCAGCCGTCTTTTTGTTGCCGCCCGAGCCAATCAGGTTCATAAGGTAATTGACGGTGATCCATGCAAATACACCCTCATCACGTCCATCCATGATCTCGATACCATTTTTCGTAGCCTTGTCATTATTGTCCACCAAGTCAGCGATGGGAAACGGATACGACGATTCAATCATACGACGCACGGCCTGGATGATCGCTCCGCTTTGCTCGGGACCCAAGAGACGCAGTCCAGCTGTTGCCTTGAGTTGTAATGGTGTACAAGCTTGCAGCGGTTGCGGCACGATGTCCAAAGCCTTGTCTAGCAGAGGACGAAGAGAATGGGCAGCGCCTTGCGCATCGGCTTTGTACGACGACAAGCCTGGCTCAATGTGATCAAAATGTTCGAACTCAAGCTCGGGCGAAGCCTTGCAGTAGTTAAATTTGTACACATGAATGCGGCTTCCCGTGCTGCCGGCATCTATCATGATGGCATACTGCACGAGCGGGCGACGCCTGCCATTGGGATCGTACACCGGCGTCGCATTACCACACCGGCTCGTGAGAGAGGGGTCGTGGTGCAGCTGCGGCGGTATTCTTGCGCTGGTGGGCGCAGACCTGTACATCGACAGACCGGGGAACGGTGGGATGTGCCATTTCTGCGAGTCGCGCAATTCGGCCGCGGTATCCTTGAAGATGGTCGACACATTCGAATGCAAATTGAAGGGTACCAGCACCAGCAGAATCAGGATCGTAATGCACAATAGCACTATTGGCTTTCGCGTACGGACAATGCGCGGAGCCCATAGAAACGGAGAGTTTGACATCAATGTACACACACACGCCTGAAAAAGCGCGCGATAGCAGTCCAAGTCCCCCGAGACCGTAATTTTTGGCCCCACACGTGGCTTGCACCCGAGATCCAGGGTGCCGAGGAAATCAAGCATACGAACAAGCCACGGAGAAAGAGTACGAAATAACGACTACAAATGACCCTTCCTACAAGTATCATACATCCAGCGGCGGAAATTCACAGCAGGCGCAATCGTGTGTGAACCTTTAATTCTTTGCAGAAAAAAAGGTATGAACAAAGCGCAATGGACACGACATGCCAGCGTCTCTGGATCAAACGATACTGTCGGCGCCTCAAAGCACAAGGCACTTACTCTTGCCACTCCGGCCACCACGAGGCTTCTGTATAAGCGCCGCCCGAGTCGCGTGCTCAAACACTTCCCGCACGCCTTCACCTGTCTTGGCGCTGCATTCAAGATAGCGGACAGCACCGATCTTTGATGCCACAGCCATACCCTCCTCAGGCGTCACAGGGCGCTGGCTCGTTTTGCGCAGCTCCTCAATGATCTTGGGATCACGACGAAGATCCTTCTTGCAGCCCACGAGGATAATGGGCAGATTTTGGCAGAAGTGCAGCACTTCCGAGATCCACTTCTCCTGAACATTATCAAGACTGTCAGGCGAATCAATGGCGAAACAAATGAGGATCACATGAGAGTCGGGGTACGACAGCGGGCGCAGACGGTCGTAGTCTTCTTGACCAGCAGTATCCCAAAGCGCCAATTCAACGTGACGACCATCTACTTCCACATCAGCCACATAGTTTTCGAACACAGTAGGAACGTAGACCTGAGACAACGTGTAAGTACCTTGATCGATCACCGCAAGTGAATACATACCTCGGGGAAGGTGCCCTGTAGAATCGCGCAAGAAAAGGAAAAAGAGCCGCGTTAGTATCTGTTCCGTGCATCGTACAGGACGTTCTAGACAAATGCTGGGAATAACATGCTGTACCCCGCACTTGCTCCCACACACATGCCTGAACCGCCCATGACATCGACGTACCTTGCTGAAAACAATCAGCAAACATGTCTTACCGCAGGCACCATCACCCACAATCACCAACTTCCGACGAAGCTCAGTCATATTTCTAGGCTTTCCGGAGACAGGATTGGTATGGAGATCAAGGAATACTTGATCACACACCAATAGAGAGACTAGGGGAAGAACCTTGGCTTTTGCCCGAGGATTTGACAACAGCCACAGCACGCACGCGAAACCGCGGTCTGTTTAGTCTTCCACCCGCGAGCCCAGCCAGTCATGTGCGTCACATGAAAAGACAACGACGCACACCATTTTCTGGCACATGTGAATTTGCTTATATTCCATCAACCAGCCGAATTCTCCAGGGTGCGTGGCTATAGTATAGTGGTCAGTACGTATCGTTGTGGATTTGGCGTAGCCAACCGCGACTGTCTCCGATGAGACGCCGGTTCGATTCCGGCTAGCCACATTTTTTCACAGCAAAATCAGGCATGTGATTTAAATAATGAAATTTCAGCCGCTCGTGCCATGTGGCTATAGTATAGTGGTCAGTACGTATCGTTGTGGATTTGGCGTAGCCAACCGCGACTGTCTCCGATGAGACGCCGGTTCGATTCCGGCTAGCCACAATTTTTGTTTCGATCTCATTTTCACGCTCACCGACTCGGCGAAAAGAAATCGTGGCACCGATCAGCTAAACTTGATGCATCGCTCCCATATCGCCACCACTGATCCCCTCCCATGAGGCAGTGCTTTGGGACCCATCCGCCTCCACGCATGCAAAACCCTTATGTGCGCGTGGAGTTTGCATCACGTGGAGTCCGAGTGCTGGCGTGAGGCGTGCGGGTCACTGGTCGGTGCCACAGCCCACAACACGTTGCATACGTTTGTGATTCTGATATGGTAAGTTGTGGGTGTTGGGTGCATAAACTTACGCGCATGTGGTAGTCTTCGGGTGTAAAAGTAAGCCAAGAGTGTCTTGAGCAGTTTCAGTCACTGAAGCTGGGCCGAAAGACCAAGTACATTATCTACACGCTTTCGCCAGACAATACTGAGATTGTTGTGTCCAAGACGAGTGACTCGTCCAACTACGACGACTTCCTTGCTGAGCTTCCACCTGCGGAATGCCGCTATGCGATCTACGACTTTGAGTTCCAAAAGGGTGATGAGGGTAAGCGCAACAAGATTTGCTTCTTCACATGGTCGCCTGATGAATCCAAGGTGAAGCAAAAAATGCTCTACGCGTCGTCGAAGGAGGCTCTGCGTAAGGCTCTTGTGGGCATTGCCACCGAGATCCAGGGCACGGACCTGAGTGAAGTTTCGTACGAGGCCGTGCTGGAGAAAGTGATGCGCTCGACGTTTTAAAATACACGAGATCTCTATAGGATACAGTCCATGGCGCTTCACGTACAACCCCATGTGTCCCAATGGGCAGCGACGCTGGCAGACTCCCACGTGCAGTTTTGGCCAAGCACGAAGCCCGCACCGAGCCAGTTCTGCAGCAGGGATGCCACCGTGTTCTTTGCGGCAATGGTGCTAGTTTCGATGGTAGAGACCCACCGCTCCATGGCGTTGATGTTGTACAGGTTCTGAGCCACGTGAAATGAGGGCCATTGGGAGGGCGGCGTAAGTTGTGGGTATGCGCTCCATGCGTGATACCTGGTCCACACAATGCGGCCGGGCAATATGCGTTGCAATTGTTGGGGCGACAAGGGTGCGAGGGAGAAGATCTTGACAAGATAGAGTTTGTCCCACGTTGTTCCAGCGTGGCGGACATGGTGCAATTCGCGGAGGTAGCTGAGCGACAAAAATTCGGGCACAGAACCATCCGGTGCCTGTGTAGTAAGAATGGTTCGCGGCACTTGAGCTGTGGTCGCGTAGCCAAAATATGCCTGGCTAGGCCTAGGTGCGTCCGTGGCAACGAGCGTGACATGCACTTGTTGCATTTCGTACATAGGCACAGTGTGCTCCGTATTCAGCAGTGTGATACGAGCAGACTGCCACGGCGTCGCAATGATCACGGCATCAAACACGCTGCCACGTCCGTCGCGTGTACCGACCCACCACTGAGACGATGCGCCTTGCATGCGCATCAGGCCAGTCACTTGGCCTGCTATGCCCGTGTGGACGGTGGCACCACTAGCTGCTAGCATCCGTTCGAATATCTGGGTATTCCCACCTTCCATAGAAAATGCATCGGTGGCGGCCATAGAAACCATACCAGCCAATGCATGGATGTGCTCGACATGTTGAGCATAATTGGCGCGAGTGACGCCATTTATCACTTCGTCCACAAATGCCGCTGATACCTTGTGCGTCATATAATAGTTTTTAGTTGATACGGTGCTAGGATCCTGCAGTCCAAGGCTGCGCACGAGGCCCTTCACACTGGACCACGGAAAGCCCGACTTGGCGGTGGGACCAGACCTCTCCTGTAAAAAGATTGGGTTGTACAATTGCAGAAACGATGTGAGAGCGCGTTGCATGAGCTGGAAAACAATGGACAGACTGCGCCCGTACCGCCAATACAGCCGAAGTTGATCCCATGTAGTATCCGTAAATTGATCGATCAGCACCTCTTTTCCGTTCCAAAGACCGTAGCCACCGCCGGGTATCTGTTCAGGTGGCACGCGCTTTACGCCAAACTTGTCAGTAGCATACAACATGTGCTGATTCGCACTCGACAGGATGCTAGCACCCATTTCCACAGGTGCCTGCTGCAGATCATCCAACGGATGCACATGATGCACACGTCCACCCACGCGATCACGCTCATACACAGTCGTGTGCACGCGTTCAGGCCATACGGCACCCTCGCATCCAGGCAAACCACGCATATGCACCTCATGTAGTCGCTCTTGTGCCTGAGATAGCAGGTAGGCAGCTGTCGTGCCCGAAGCACCAGCACCGATGATCGCTACACGGAGCTCAGGGCGTGAGTAAGACGGGCATTCAGAAACGTTGGATGACGCTAGTAAAAATGCCTCTTGCCAAGACAGAATGCACCCTGCCTGACAGAGAGCCACGGCGGCCCACAGCCAGACAGGACCTAGGAGCCTAACCATATGAGTGGAGGCGCGGGAAAAACGGCTCGTTTTGGCCACTTCCCCAATGCCTCCAGCCAGCATGTCGTACAAAAAGGACAGTGCACAGGCCGATATCCTTGCGCCGCGCTCGAGGGAGCTCGAGTTCGGAGGAGCACTGGGTGCATTGTTCATTACGGTGACTGTGCCGCTCACCATGTATTACCTCACGTTTGGCTGCAGTGCCGAGATGGGATGCTCGCTGCCCCTATCTGCTTCGAACGCTCAGGCCTTGTGGACCTATGCCCGTCAGCAGCTTGTGGCCAGTTTCCAAGACCGCATGGGGTGGAATCTGTACTATGCATGGTACATGTACTGTGTCATTGCATGGTTTGTGGTTGATGGTAAATGGGTCGAGGGCCTGCCTCTCCGCACGGGGGAAAAGCTTAGGTACAAAATCAATGCGCTCAAGACTGGCGCTATTGCTTTGGGATTTGCCTTCACGATCATAGTTATCAAGGGTCCGGCATCTTTCACGCTCTTGTATGATCACTTCCCCGGCCTGCTTAGTGCTGCCTTGGTGAACTCGATTCTGCAGGCCATCTACGTGTACGCTGCGTCCTTCCATGGTAAAAAGCTCTTGGCCCTGGGAGGCAACAGCGGCAATCCCTTGTTTGACTGGTTCATCGGCCGCGAGCTTAATCCTCGTATCGGCGAATTTGACATCAAGACCTTCAACGAGCTGCGTCCGGGTCTAATCCTTTGGGCACTACTGGACATAAGCTGTGTGTGCCACCAATACACCAAGTTTGGTTGGGTCAGTGACAGTATTGTTCTTGTGACACTGTTCCACCTATGGTACATTGTCGATTCGCTTATCAATGAATCGACTATTCTCACACAAATGGATATTACGACAGATGGCTTCGGGTTTATGCTCAGTGTTGGCGACCTTGCTTGGCTACCATTCACGTACTGTTTGCAAGCGCGTTTCCTGGCCTTCCATCCGATCCATCTCGGCTGGTTCGGTGTGCTAGCGATTCTAGCCGTTCAGTTTACGGGCTATTACATCTTCCGCGTGGCGAACCTTGAGAAGAATGAGTTCCGTCACGGACGTAATCCCAAAGGCACGCATATCATGCGCTAATGAAGCAGGACTGCAATACATGACGACAACTAGCGGACGTAAACTGCTCACTTCAGGATGGTGGGGCAGGAGCCGTCACCCCAACTACCTCGGCGACTGGATTATGGGCTGGGCGTGGTGTTTGCCGTGTGGGTTTAGCACACCGATCCCCTACTTTTACGTCGTCTACTTTGCCGTGCTGCTTTGGCACCGCCAATTGCGCGATGACGATGCGTGCCGCAAGAAGTATGGAGCAGAGTACGTATGATACCCTCGCTATGCGCGGCGATACTGACACGCCTCTCTTCACCGGACTCTACAGCTGGGACGTTTACGTATGTATCACGCACCATTGAAGCAGGGAACTAACGCCACAGTGCCGACGTGTTCCATACCGCATCATTCCATACGTATACTAAACGTAATAATATGCAAATCCAGAGTGATGATCGATTTCGCGATATCGAACGCTGGCTACATCAAAGACGGTCGCGCTTGTACTTCTTGTCAAAGTCGCCCTGTATTGTCAGAGTCGAGCTGTACGTACCGTAATGTTCCACAGCTTGTATTGAGTGCCTGGCTCAACGTTGTTCCAGGGAGTAGGGTTGTTCTGTCATAAGTAAAAATGCACATACCTTCTTGTCCCAAATCACATCAGGCGAGCGCGCGAGACGCGTAAGGTACCAGGTAGCACCGCCGACGGCCAAGACCGAGACAGCGACGATGGGGTACACTTCAACGGGCATGCTTTCATGTTAAGACATGTATACGTACATCTTGGACCATTGAATGCCTTTCCTAGCAGTGTTGGGCGAGACCATTTTCGACAATAGGAGGAGAGGGCCGTTCGGCTCTGGCGGCCCAGGTCGGGACCTACCGGTCACGTGATAACATCCACCAAGGCCCGCCGGCCGGGGCACCATGAAGGCAACATAGCAGGCGCCTCACGCATATGGTGAACGTATTGTACATGACGGTGCGATTCTGACTCATATACATAGACGAACGTCGTGCTCGAGGCTGTGTGCGGGTAACTAGGGACTATCTTAAACGGTGTAGGGCCTGTCGCGACGCGTAATCCCGCTGCATGGCAGCAGAGCCTGCCAAGAGAAAGGTGGCTCAACCTGATCTATAGACAAGTGATTCCTCCTCAGCATCTCAGCTCAGGTTCGTGCGTGATCGACCGCCTTCGGACAGGGGGGTCTGTAGAGTGCATTCATTATGGCTATATTGGATGCATGAAAACGCGTCTGTCATTGGACACGTGCATTCATAGGCCGACATGTAGACAAGTTGCATTCGCTCTACAAACGCGCTTAT